AACTGTTGATGCTTGTTAGATTTCAATCAATTACTCAGCAAGCGTTTGGGTTTCTTGTTTGGGTGTATTCCATGTAGTTGAACAACAGCACAAAGATAACACACATCTATTTTTTAACAAGTGAAAAGATGTGGTCAACACTGATGAACAATGAATAATACGTTTAATCCAATAAAAGGCCACTGTTAAATAAGACACGTCTTTACCCAAGAGAATCATTTTGCTAACTGATTTTTTAGTCTCTAATCCAAAATATCCCAAGCGTCACTAGTCCCGTTCAATATACGTCTCCTCTGATGCGTCTCTAACTAACTAATAATATAAACTAGGTGCCTAACAGAAGCTACAGAGGAGCCCCCCGTAAGAGCTATAAAGATAATCTCAGGTGCCATTTTGTAGTTATGTGAAACACTGCACTCAGCCTTAATTTTCGGAATCGAAGACATTATTATCATTATACAAAAATTATGTCAAATAATTCGCATTGACTACATACAAACATTAATCTCATTGTCATTACTTTCTTTCAAATCCTAAGAATAGTTCCTTTTTAAATTACTAAATATTGGGGTCTACTTTTTTTTAGGTTTCATTGTACATTTATTTTTATTTTTAATATAAACATTATTATTGCTGAATTCAGTACAAAATGAAATTAAGCTCATGTAAACCTTGTGCCTCCTGCAGTCTGACAGTATTCGAAATTTCAAACTTTAAATGAGCCAAAGCAAGGCTAAATCTAGGTTCACCATGTATGTTGATGGAAAAGCTAACAAATAATTACATTTTCGACCATAGTTTTGAAATTTTACTGCAACATTTATATTTAAGTGCCATATCTCTGTTGTGACTCCTATGTTAACATTCTATTTACTGAAGACATAATTTTGTAAATATATTTTTTCCTGAAAAATCAATTTGAACATTAGTAACAGATGCTAAATAATTGTCATTTAGACTTTTTTTTTTAATTTACATCCTAGAAGCGAATCATCATTTCTTCATAAAGCGTTGTTAGATGAATTACATAGATATCGATGTCCTTAGGCAATAATTCATTTGTTAACAAACAAGTTATGTGATATTGTAAAACTCTTTATAATAGATTTAATATCTTGATAAAAGAAAATGATATAATCAATGAAAGTCAATCTCTTTCCTTGCAGTCGGAGGTTCATTTCATTCATTTGCGTTAGATGCCTACCATGTAAAACAATTTTTTAGCCTGCTTTAAGTCATCGCCAACAGTTGAATCTTCCTGTTTCTCAAAAGAAAAGTTCCAAAATTATATTGAAGAGTTTAGCGAAACGAGTAATAACAACTCCCTTTCGAAATCCAGCAAATCTCAGTTTACAATAAGAGTAACATGTTGCTTATCATTTGTTTCACAAAACTGTTGAAAGATTAGCTTATTTTCGGCATGGGTTTGTATTTTATTTACAAGTTTTATAATAAGATTCAAATAGAAATCAAATTGTGGGCTAAAATTTTAACATGATGTTACCTGTGTATCATAACTCACAAGGTGAATATTGCATAGATCTGTTCTTTATTCTATATTACTTATGAAGCCATTGTAGCGTCCAACCAATGATGGTTCCCTATATGTCATCATAAGCTACATAACTAGACAAGTTTGAAATATTTCATCACTAACAAAAACAACAAGTTTTTTTGTGCTACAGATAAGTTTTGAAAAATTTTAATTTTAGTTTCAATCAATTTTCAAACAATATCATAAGACTTTTTAAAAAAGCTATGCATTTTTTCAGTAGACCACTAACACATATCTTGCTTTGTCTTTTTTGTTTTTGTTTTGTTTTTAATATTGTTTGAATAGTAATTATAATTGTTCATGAATATTCTTAATTTTTTTTTTGGATATTGCTATATGTTTGTGAAGCTGACTTGGTTTCATAACTTCATCTGAAAATGCCATCATTCAAAGTAGAACATTAGAATACTTTTTATCTAGTGGCTATTCACTAAAACTCAGGAAAATACTCCTTTACATACCAGCGAATTTTCATAACAACACTTTGTCAATGTTTTTTGTTTAAGAAAAGGTTAAATTATTCTCTTTGAATGTTAGCTTTAACGTAAAATTAACATTTACATATCAATATTTAAACAAACGAAGATGAGAAAAAAAGATCTAAAAGGCGTATTGTTTCTTGAAAGTTGGGTAGCCATTGATTTTATCTCCGTGATTGATTGTAAAAATCAAACTGGACTAATGAACCATATCACTTTGATCTCATTTATTTTATTTGTACGGGAGATTTAGGACAATGTTTTATTATCATAACAAAGAGATATTTTGTGTTTAAAAAAGCTCATTATGACTCGTTTATTGTGCTTTTATTTGGGTTTAGTTACCGTTTGATTTTGGAAATATGTTTCTTTAAATTTAAATTCTCTTTTATTTTTGCTAACAAAATAAATTGAATTTATAATCATTAACGGTCTTCTTTGCTTCCATTGTTAAACCATTATAGCTATAAACATAAAATTATATCTTCCTCTATTGTATCCCCTTCTTTCTCTGTCTCTCTTTCTCTCGGTTAAAAGTACGTCCAGCACAAAGCTCCACACACACACTCAGCAGTAAACACCGTTGATTTATACCCAGACTTTATATTGTTTATTATAGCTGAAACATCCTCTCTTTTTCTTTTTTGAAATTTCAATAAACGGGCCACATTGTAACGATTACCATTACATACTTTTTAACCAGTGAATTAATGTACGAGTTACAATGCAACCTTAACGGTCCGCTCACTTTTTCTTTTATTCTTAATCTTTCTGGAGCTCTTATTTTTGTTAATTTTTCCATCCTGCAAATTTTTTTTCCGACATAGACGCACAGGCGATTGCCTCTGCCCTCCCCCCCCCCTCAAACTCGGCCGACCCCCGACGAATTTTAGTAAAGAAATCATACAATTGGCATACGAATGTATTACTTATGTTAATAATGTATAATAGTTATTTATATTTCAACCTATTATTTAGACTATATAGCCCGCCCCCTCTAGTATTTTGAACTATTTGGTGGGGTGTGGAGTAAGCAATGGCATCGATCCCGCCCCTCCCCCCCCCCCCCCCCATAAATTTTCGAGTGGTTACTTGTAGGAATTTGTAGCTTGTTAACAGAATCAATTAAATATATATAGGATTAAAACTTGTTATTGATATTTTAACCGATCTTTATATTATGTCGTTCCCCTGTTAGCCGATTTGGGGGGGGGGGGGGGGAAATACATCTATTGTCCGTCCCACCTATGCCCTTTTAGTGGGAGGGTGGTCCTATTTTTGAGAAGAAATCATAGTTTGTGAACAAAATTAGTAGAATTACTATAAAATTTATATATTATGTTTCGCTTTCTTCTTGTATCTTGGCCGTTTCGGTGCGGTGGGCGTGGGTGGCGCGATTGCATCTACTGATGTCGCTACTCTAGTCCTTTGAGTGGAAGGGCGGTCGAATTTTTATGGAGAAATCATAATTTGTAAACAGAATTAGTTGAATAACTATATAATATTAGTTACTTATTGATATTTGAACCCATTTGAATACTATGTCATAATACACTCTAATCTCAAATTTTATCATAAGTAAAATTATAGAATGCAAAAGGGTTGTACCAGGTGGGAGGGACGAAACATGAAATCGCCCTCCGCCCATCGAACAAACCAATACTTTTTTCTTTTGTTATTTAAGAAATTATAAAATAAAAAAAGTCACTAATTTAATTTATACAAGCTATATATTACATTCCTCTATCGAGTCACCCCATCCCTATTCTTTAATGCCAAATGCAATCATTAGCAAAAATTATGAAAAGGAGAGAGGACTCTTACTCAATTAATCGTTTTCGATCTACCACCCCGTCCAGTTTTCAGACGAATACTATACGTTTCAAAAACATAGTGAAATAATTATTTAAAGAAACACTTCGTTTTGGAAATTAAGAATTCATAAAAAACTTTTCAATATAATAGTAACAATTGAAATGAGTTCTGAACCCAAATATTTTTTTCTGGTCGCGTTTTTCAAACCTTTACTTAATTAGAAATTTATTCTACTGTATAAATAGATTAGTTTAGATCTTTGAATTAGTTCTGTAACAAAACGAAGTTACACGTAGGCGTAGTGAACAGAATAGATCACGTACAAATGAGCTTTTTTTGTCAAAAATTTATTTTCAAATTTATATATATATACATAATAAAAAGGACGTATAAATTATATATATCATGGGCGTAGCCGAGGGATACAATTGTGTCATTTTATTTCTTTAATTTTGTTTATTGTTGATAAGAATTTAATATTAAACCATCAATTGCCCCAGCGCAATCAATGAGGGGAAAGTTGAGTTTAAAATCCCCCTCCAATGGTTCTTAATGTTAAAACCCCCAATAAAACAAAAAAATTAAGCAACCGACAGTTACTAAATCTCCATGAGCGTAGCCAAAGGGAAAGGGTTAAGTTTAAAACGGTCTTTACATTATTCTACGATACAAAAAAAAATGAAGGGTCAAAATATAATTAATAAAGAGTTCCCTCCCAACCCTACTCCTGAATAAAATCCTAGTTACGCCAATGATCTTCAACAAAGATTACCATTATAAATCTCTCTCTTTCGTGTACAAGAAAATAAACATAGTAAACTTTTTATTACTTTTGGAAATCAGGAAAGTAGCCATTAGTCACGTGCAGATTCCATTTATAGATTAAAAGATTTTAGTTTTGCTCCAGATAAAAGATTAACAAAACTACATGTACAGAAAGTATTACAACTGCTATTGAAATTAAAAAAAAGAACGATGTTGCATTTATTGTAATAAATAAAATGTTTTCAGTGAATAAATGAAATGTTCTCAGTGAATAAATGAAATACTGTAAGTCAATAAATGAAATGTTGCCAGTCAATAAATGAAATGTTGTCAGTCAATAAATGAAATATTGTCAGTCAATAAATGAAATGTGGTTAGTCGATAAATGAAATGTAGTCAGTCAATAAGTGAAATATTGTCATTGAATAAATGAAATGTTGTTATTCAATAAATAAGATGTTGTCAGTCGATATATGAAATGTTGTCAGTCAATAAATGAAATGTTGTCAGTCAATAAATAAAATGTTGTCAGTGAATAAAGGAAATACTGTCAGTCAATAAATGAAATGTTGTCAGTCAATAAGTAAAATGTTGTCAGTCAATAAAATGGAATGTTGTCAGTCAATAAAATGGAATGTTGTCAGTCAATAAATGAAATGTTGTCAGTCAATAAGTAAAATGTTGTCAGTTAATAAAAAGAAATTTTGCAGTCAATAAATGAAATATTGTCAATCAATAAATGAAATGTTGTCAGTCAATAAATGAAAAGTTGTCAGTCAATAAATGAAATGTTGTCAGTCAATAAATGAAAATGTTGTCAGTCAATAAATGAAATGTTGTCAGTCAATAAATGAAATGTTGTCAGTCAATAAATGAAATGTTGTCAGTAAATAACTGAAGTGTTGTCAGTCAGTAAATTAAATGTTTACAGTCAATAAATGAAAATGTTGTAAGTTATTAAAAAAATATTGTCAGTCAATAAATGAAATGTTGTCAGTCAATAAATGAAATGTAGTCAGTCGATAAATTAATTGTTATCAGTCATAAATGAAATGTTGTCAGTCAATAAATGAAATATTGACAGTCAATAAATGAAATATTGATAGTCAATAAATGAAATATTGTCAGTCAATAAATGAATAGTTGTCAGTCAATAAATGAAATGTTGTCAGTCAATAAATGAAATGTCAATTGTGTGTGTTGTAAGAGAAAGGAAATCTAATTACATTTATTATGAGTAAGAGCAAAACTTCACTACTAAAAACTTCACGAATAGAAAAAAAATCATAAATACTTTTACGTTTTGTCTTTCATTGTTCAGTCAACAAAAGAAACATTTTTGAAAAGGTCAACAATTTTTTTTATTATTAAGATTTTTTAAAAGTTATTTAAATAATAATAATAATAATAATAGCTTTTATATAGCACTACTTCTATGCTTATATAATGCTCAGAGCGATATGGTCCAATCTCATTTGTGGACCAGTGGGGGGGGGGGGGGGGCAGGGCTATATGGGAGAAGGTTTTCCGTGCTGCTTTTATGCGCTCAGTTAACACAACTTATCTTGACTCGGGTGTCGAACCTCGAGACCCCTTCATAGGTAGTCAAGCCAAACAAGGTTTTGCTATGGAGCAATGCATGTAGCTACCAAAAACTTGGTTTTACTATAGAGCAATGCATGTAGCTACCAAAAACTTGGTTTTACTATAGAGCAATTCATGTGGCTACCAAAAACTTGGTTTTACTATAGAGCAATTCATGTGGCTACCAAAAACTTGGTTCTACTATAGAGCAATGCATGTAGGTATCAAAAACTTGGTTTTACTATAGAGCAATGCATGTAGGTATCAAAAACTTGGTTCTACTATAGAGCAATGCATGTAGCTACCAAAAAACTTGGTTGTACTATAAAGCAATGCATGTTGCTATCAAAAACTTGGTTCTACTATAGAGCAATGCATGTAGCTATCAAAAACTTGGTTCTACTATAGAGCAATGCATGTAGCTATCAAAAACTTGGTTCTACTATAGAGCAATGCATGTAGCTACCAAAAAACTTGGTTGTACTATAGAGCAATGCATGTAGTTACCAAAAAACTTGGTTCTACTATAAAGCAATTCATGTGGCGAGTAAAAAAAAAGAGAAGTGTTAGCACGATATCTAGTTGTCCTTAGGGCAGTTATTGTTCATTTAAACCTGTTTCTAGAAAACTATTAATGAAAGTGGGATGGGACCAATACAATAAAATAAAGGCCTTTATTTTCTTCTGATGTATTCGGATATCAATAAAGTTTTGTAATTTAGTTAATGCCTTGAAATCACGAATACGAATTCCGGTGTCTCCACTAGAAATCATGTCCGCGATCTTAGCCATACTGCACTGTCACGAAGGTTTACTTTGGTGTTTCCTTGATCGATAATGCGATAAGGAAATTATCTGACGATGTTGGAATATCTCAGTACATATCTCTGTTGGATACAAGTGATGTTGCAAAAGAAAAAAGTGCTTTAGAAGAATCCTCTAGTATGGTGATATACTTAGCTTCTTGGATCACTGTGTTTGTTCAAAAATACTTCCAAATTGGTTTAATGAGTTAAAATACATTTTTGACATTCTTTCAATGTCCAAAATTTCACCCACAAACTAAACTGCGCCAATAAATTTCTGAATCCGAACGGCCTTTCATAGCCTAAAGTGACCTGTTATAGCTTGTGTGCTCATTAGAGTGAATCCAGTTGAACATTTTGTAACAGTTAAAAAGGGCATGAGCACTAATACATCTTACCTAAAGTATTTAGATCTAGATCTATATATATATATAGCAAGAGAGCGAGTTGCCATACTACTAGATGCTAACACGAAACTCTGCCAATGAAGTTTCTTATGGTATTGAACTTATTTCGAGCATGTTTTCAGTCACGTGTCCAGAAGAAATAGTATTAAAACAACAGGCTTTAATTTACTTCGTTTCATGCTATGTCAAATCTAGGTGTGTTTTCGATTTTCGATTCATTTTAATATTGAACAAAATGCATCCTAAGAAATATAGTAATTGACATAATTAAAACACCTCAATGTGCTTTTATCAAGTGAAGAGGAAGTAGCTGAAAAAACGTGTTTTAATTATACAAACTTTGTACCAAATATCAGCTCCCTGTTGTGAAAGAAAGAAATCCTCAATAACTAGACATTTTTGTGATTTGTCTATGATCCAAATAACTAGATATGTAGGTAGTAGATAGAGATAACTATCCCAAATATGCCAATATATTAATTTAAAGACAATCAAAGCATTGCTACAATAAAACGAAAAAAAAAACAACTTTAAAAACCTTTAAGAGAGAATACATTAAACATATGAATCACATCTATCCAAGTCTTAAAACAGTATACATTAAACATATGAATCACATCTATCCAAGTCTTAAAACAGTATACATTAAACATATGAATCACATCTATCCAAGTCTTAAAACAGTATACATTAAACATATGAATCACATCTATCAAAGTCTTAAAACAGTATACATTAAACATATGAATCACATCTATCAAAGTCTTAAGACAGTATACATTAAACATATGAATCACATCTATCAAAGTCTTAAAACAGTTTACATTAAACATATGAATCACATCTATCCAAGTCTTAAAACAGTATACATTAAACATATGAATCACATCTATCAAAGTCTTAAGACAGTATACATTAAACATATGAATCACATCTATCAAAGTCTTAAAACAGTATACATTAAACATATGAATCACATCTATCAAAGTCTTAAGACAGTATACATTAAACATATGAATCACATCTATCAAAGTCTTAAAACAGTTTACATTAAACATATGAATCACATCTATCAAAGTCTTAAGACAGTATACATTAAACATATGAACCATATGTACCAAAGCTTTCACAAATAAACTGAAGACAAGAATGAGGATACGAGTACATTGGTTCGTTCCATCTTCATCATCACTTGTTGCTGATGTCGACAAAAGATTTCTTGAGAAACTCATCCACATCCATAGGCGATGTGTTATCTTCGATACCACTGGTCAAGGCTTTAATAGATGATGATGCATCTAAAGAAATAGATAAGTGCATGTTGTTGGCATAAATTAAATTTAGATTTCATTGATTTAAGATCCGTACACTTGAGTTCAACAATAAACAAAGATTGCTAAGGTACACAGACCCGAGGTGTCTATAATTACAACAAGATCATTTCTGAATCTTTAAAGGCTCTGTCTTTCAATAAATAAATGCATATTTTCATATTTGATTTATTAATATCGCATCAGTAAAAAACTATATTACAAAGACAGTTTGTGTGGAAACACAAACTCAAAATCGGCCCCCGAAGTGTCCACCCAGGTAGGTAAAAAAGGCAGGTTTCAATATTTTCAGAAAGAACATCAGAATGAAATTCTATCAAAGGCAAATGACAGAGAAGAATGGAGAAAGAAGGTTGACAGACCTTGTGTGGTGCCCCTGCGGCCCAGCAGACCAAAGGATAAGTGAAAGTGAATGTGAAGTTAGATGTGAACCTGGTCTAACAGATGTCTTATAATGAAAATCTAATTGATCTAATTGTTTTGTAAAGGGTAAATCTCTTATTCAAATACTCAAGAAAAATATAAAAAAATTTTCATTTAGTTAAGTGTTCTATAGCTATGATGCAGCATGGCAGCTCACGCTAGAAACTACTTATTAATTGTTGTTTTAAATTATGACCAACTTATATGCATACTAAATAGATTTTTCTCTTTAAAAAAGTAAACATTTTTTTGTGTCAATGTAGTAGTTAGTAGGACAGAACTAACTTAACTAAGCAATAGAAATGTAAAAAAAAAAATTGATGTTGGATTTTTACTATCTTTTCTAGTTAAAGAAATCGAAACGTGACGGACGGACATACTTCTTTAATTTTTCCAGATCGAAACGCGACAGATGGACAGACCATATAGTATGTATAGAAGCTTTCCCCTTTCGGGACCGCTTAAAATATGCACACTTTAAAAAACAAGAGTAGGTGTTTCAAAAACTGAATTTAAGCAAGACGAAAATGAGAGAAAAATTTAATTTTATGTAATGCTACAGGTTTTCAAGAAAATAAATGGCAGTTTCTTCGTTTTGTTTGAAAAAGAAAATTCATGTGTGAATACATAATGAATACTTCTTTTTGATCAACAAAATGTTCACATTATAATACTAAAACTAGCAGGCTGCAGGCTACAGACCGATAAAAGCGACGATAAGATCTGATTTTCAAGGATGCTTTTAGTTTCAGAGATCTAAAAATTATAGACAGCGGCTTTTTTTTTTGGGGGGGGGGGGGGCTACTGAAAAAAACAACAACTTTACCTTCGGTGTCGTCTATTTCCGAATTCGGCAGAAGTAGTTTTTGTATTTCATTTCTCTTAGACTGTAAAGCAACAGCTGCAGCTCTGTCTTTTTCTTCTTCAGTGAACTCTTCTCTTCCTAGTAATAATTTTAAAATTTGAATACTTCCGCTCTTGGAGGCCAAAAATAAAGCATCTTCAATCTTTTTATTAACAACTTTCGTATTTGCTCCGGCTTTGACAAGAGCTTCAAAAATATGGTGGTGTTTTATTCCTATACAGGAGAGAAGGGGTGTGTCACCATCTTTGTCTGCAAGGCTCACATCTGCGCGTGCAGTGAGGAGTTCATCGACTATGCTTTTGTGTCCATATTGAGCGCTGATGTTTAGAGCAGTGCTCCCGTGGTTGTTGGTTGCATCGACATTGGCCCCACTCTGAATCAAAGCCCTAACGATGTTCTCGTGGCCACGTTTGGCTGCTATGATTAAAGCAGTTTCTCCTCGTTCGTATTCTTTTAACTCTAGTTTGGGTTTCTTGTCAAGGATGTGCTTCACAATGTCAGTGTGGCCGTTGTTGGAGCTGAGCATGAGAGGCGTAAGACCTTCATTGTTGGCGTGGTCCACGTCAGCGCCTTGGTCCAGTAGCAAGCAGACTGCATCTTTGTGTCCGTTGGCTGAGCAGGTGTTAAGAGCCGTGTTTCCTTTGTGGTCTAAGGCCTCAATGTTGGCTTTTTCGTCTATCAAAGCTTTCATACAATCTGTCTTGCCATATTGTGTGCACAACATGAGAGGCGTCCAGCCGTTGTCACCCGCTTGATTGACGTCAGCACCCTTCTTGATCAAGAGCCTGCAGGTTTCAGAGTCTCCCTTGTGAGCTGCCATCATGAGTACTGTTCTCTTCTTCTTGTCTATCGAGTTGACATTAGCTCCTTTTTCGATAAGCTTTTCGACTATTTTCCTATGACCGTTTAGTGCTGCGGTGTGAATTGGATAGCTACCTTCTCCGTCGCACTTATTCACCTCAGCGCCCTTTTCCAAGAGTAGCATCACAACATCGAAATGACCTTCGTGGCAGCTTACATCCAGTGGGTGGACACCGTTGGAGTTGGTTGCGTTCACTTCAGCATTGTAAGCAATCAGTAGCTCGACGCAGCGGCTGTGTCCTTTCGATGCAGCTTTCATCAGAGCCGATGTTCCATCCTGGTCTATATCATTAGGTCTGGCACCATGTTGCAAAAGAGCTTCCACAATGTCTGAGTGACCATGTCCTGCACTTATTTGTAAAGCAGTGGCTCCATGTTTTGACTTTGTATCGCAAGGAACGTTATTCTTTAGCAAATAGAGAACTACTGGTGTATGATGGAACTGTGCTGCCAACATAA